CAGCACAACCCCCAGCATAACCCCCTTGCACAACCCCCGGGGCACAGCCCCCCCAGTGCGATCTCCCAGCACATGCCCCAGCACATGCCCCAGCACAGCCCCCCAGCAACCACCCCCAGCGCGGCCCCACCGCACACACCCCCAGCACAATTGCAAGCACAACCCCCCAGCACATCCCGAATGCTCAACCCCCAATCAGAACCCCCCAACACATACATACACACACATTCAGCACCGCGTGCGGGTCACATTGCAACCAGAACGGCCTTTTTACAACCAGATGGGGCACTTTACAGCCAGCATGGGTTTTCCCAGAAGGGCACTTCACAACCAGGAGGGCGACTTACGACCAGGGAACTAAACGCATATAAGCGACAAGCGACACGTGTTCTTCAATTTCCGAAACACCCGTGGGCCCACGTAAAGGAGACACTTCGCCCTTTGAAGCGTTTTGGTTGTAAGGAGACTTATCTGCAGCAGAAATCTGTAAAGCGGCGGATCCCGAATGGGATCCAGCAGGAATCCGAGTGGAATCTGATGGGCACCCTTCAAAGGGATCCTATTGGCACCGGATGGGTCCCATTGGAATCCAGCCAGAGTCCTCGCTGTGGGGCCTACGGGTGCCGTGTTGGAATCCGATAGGGACGTTTCCTATTGAAAGCCTCTGGGGCCTTTCCCAATGAAAACCGATTGGAACGCCCATTGTATTACAATCGAGGAGCCGTCCTATTGGAATGCTGCGGGAACCGCATTGGGTACTATATGGAAACCCTGTGAAAAACCTTTTTGGGTTCTTGTTCGAAAGCAGTAAGAATCGTTTCTCTGGGAGTCCCATCGGAAACATATTGGCGAACACGACGGATGTCGCACTGGAATCCAATCGGAGTCCTTCCTTTTCGATCCATGCGGGCATACAGTTGGGATCCCATTATGACCCAATTGTAACCCAAGAGGAACGTGCCCTCTTTGAGTCATACTGTAGCCGGATTGGCGTCCTACTGTTGTCTCTGTGGTATTCAACATCCCGCTACAGGCTGGTGACAGGCCTGGGCGGTTTAAGCTTTTTTGCTATCTCTATGCCCTAACTCTGAATGGTTCTCTTGGAGCCTCAAACCTCTACCTGAAAATCGTGCTTCTACTGACCATCGAATGACAGTAGGCGTTCGTCGCAAAAGACGCATAGGAACACGCGCGCTCCAAGTAGAGCGGACATGTGGCCAAGAAATCGTTGGTAAAATTCTGGCGTATCCATGTGCATTTCATAGGGGTCCCAGCGGGTTCATATGGTTAGGTTGGCTGCGTCGCTGATTTCGGCGGCACGCCCGGGTGCCCAGGTGCCCGGGAGTTGCGTCGCCGATTTCGGCGGCCCGCCCGGGTGCCCAGGTGCCCGGGTGCCCCATAGCCTTATAGCCCTACATCCCTACAGCCCTATAGCCCGATAGCCCGATAGCCCTACAGCCCTACAGCCCTATAGCCCTAGTGCCCCATAGCCCTATAGCCCTATAGCCCTACAGCCCTACAGCCCTACAGCCCCATAGCACTATAGCCCTATAGCCCTATAGCCTCATAGCCCCATAGCCCTGCAGCCCTATAGCCATCTAGCCCTGTAGCCCCATTGCCCTATTGCCCTATAGCCCTATAGCGCCATAGTCCTATATCCCTGTAGCCCTATAGCCCTAGCGCCCCATAGCCCTATAGCCCCATAGCCCCATAGCCCTATAGCCCTACAGCCCCATAGCCCTATAGCCCTGTAGCCCTATAGCCATATAGTCCTATAGCCCCATAACCCTATAGCCCAATATCCTCATAGCTCTATAGCCCAGTTGCCCTACAGCCCTATAGCCCCATAGCCCATCGACCTACAGTCCTATAGCCCCATAGCCCTAACACAATTTTTGATTGGGGTTGCTTTCCGGCAGCATAGGCATTAGTTGTCTTCGCGCTTCACCGTCTGGCAAAAACAAGACCGTAGATTGTTTGGTTCCGCATGTGCGGAAGCATTCGTACCCGGGAAAGTGTAATTTTGGCCAAGAAATCATTTGTAATCATTTGCTCTTCCATGTGGGTTTCAAAGTGTAAGTTCTTTTGCAGCATAGGCCATGTTTGTCTTCGCGCCTCATCGTCTGGCAATAGCAAGACCATATGTTTGTTTACAACTGCGGAGTCATAGGTGCTCATTAGGGCGGGCATGTTGCCAAGAAGTGGGTGGTAAAGTTCTCATCGATGCATGTGGGTTATAATGTATGCTTTTTAGGCTACGGACAACTTATGTCCTCGCGCATCATCGTTCTGCAATGTCAGAACCGTATATGCTTCCGCAACTGCGGAAGCATGCGTACCTAGGAGGGCGGACATGTGGCCAAGAAGTCGTTGGTAAACTTCGAGCCACTACTCTTGGATTTCAGTTTGTGCGTCTTTTGCCTCACAGACAACTTGTGTCTTCGCGCGTCATCGTTCTGCAATCGCAAAACGGTTTTGTTTTCGCTTGTGCGGAAGCATGCGGACCCAGGAGGGCCGAAATGTGACCAAGAAGTCGTTGGCAACATACACGCCAACACATGTGGATTTCAAATTTTTGTGGGTTTGGGATCATCGGCCATGTTGTCCCTTTGTCCCTCGCGCCTTATCGTCGGTCAATCGCAAAAGCTGTACGTTTTCGCAATTGCGGAAGCATGTGTACTTAGAAGGGCGGAAGCGTGGTGACGAAATCGTTGGTAATTTCGAGCCAATGCGTGTGGATTTCAAATTGTGTGTGTTCGTCTCACAGGCAACTTGTCTCATCGCGCCTCATTGTCTGGCAATAGCAAACACTGTATGTTTCCGCTTGTGCGGAAGTATGCGTACCCAGGAGGGCCGAAATGTGACCAAGAAATCGTTGGCAACATATAAGCCAATACGTGTGGACTTGGATATGTTTTGCATCATAGGCCATGTTTGTCCTCGCGCCCATCGTCTGGCAATTGCAAAACCGAATGTCCTCGCAATCTGGAAACATGCGTACCCAGGAGGGCGGATATGTGGCCAAGTAGCTCGTCACATTCTAGCCAACACATGTGGATCTCAAGATACTTTTGGGGGCCTGGTTGGGCTCCTCCTCCTTCTCCTCCTCCTCCTCTTCCCCCTCCTCCTCCTCCTCCTCCTGCTCCTCCTCCTCCTCCTCCTCCTCCTCCGGCTCCTCCTCCTCCTCCTTTGTACACAGCCCACCTCTCCTGCCTGCGCACCGCATTCTGGGGCCGCTTTGAATCCTGGGGCCGCCCGGTCCACCGAGACACCCGTCGGCGGATTCAGAGAACACGCCAGCGCCTTGGGAAGGGATAGGCTGGATGGGGGAGGTCAAATTCTGATTTAGCCCTGGTCCGAAATCCGGCTTAATCCGGCTTCATCCCGTTTAATCCGGCTGAATCTCGCTTAAGTCCGCCGAATCGGGTTTAATCCTGCTTAGTCCGAGGCCCATTCCGGCGTAACAGCTCTCAAACCGGGTTTAATCCTCCTTAATATTTCCGACGAAAGTCTCCCAGTAGTTGCCTCCTAACGTAAGAGTACATGGCTTGTCTGTGGGAAGTTGCGGTGCCGGACCCACTCTATTGCGATGCATGTGCCACAAAAGACTGCCACAACAAGCTCGTCCACGATAGTGTCTGGCTGGCGGCGCGAATCCGTCATGAGCATGGGGACCGGGAAGCGCCTGCATGCGATAAGGAGATGTGGAGAGCCAAGTGGAATATGTCAGAACCTGTCGCCCACCCTGTTGTAGCTGAGGCCGGAGAGTGTTAACCCTTCCCGTGACAGCGTCGGCGCCTCCTTCTTTTTCGGCACGCCAGATCCGACAGCGAAGAACACGCATCCGACCAGCTTCCGTTGCCTGGGGGAAGAAGAGATCGCCTCGCGAAGACCACGATCTCGCTCACGCAAGATAGGGCGACGAGGCCTATACATATCCACTGCTCCTGGCCAGTCCCATCCTGGGCCCAGGATCTGTGTATACCCCCTCCTGGCTTGGCCAGGGAGGCATACACGCAGCTCCTGGGCCCAGGATGGGCCTGGCCAGGAGCAGTGGATATGTATGGATCTCGTGGCCCTAGCAAGAGGCAGCCAGGACATCGGGCCAGTCGCCGGGGCGCACACGCTCCAAGATGGCACTCGAGCAGCAGAGCAGCGCGGCGATTCGAGCTCGGCGGGCACCGCCCCGCTCCCTCGTGCCCTGTCGATGCCAGCCGCGGGGGGGGGGCGAGGGGTGGGAGGGGGAGGGCTCCTCGTCCTCCTCCCCAGACCCCCTCGAGTAATGAAAAAATCATGACGGGAGGTTTTTCCTAATTTTCGGCCTCCTGGGGCCCTCACCGGGCCTCGGGAGCGTCAAAAAACGACTCAGGATGCAAAGCTGGTCATGGGGAAAGGGTCGGGACCTCTGGGGGTCGACGTAATGAAAAAATCATTACGTCGGGGGTCTGGGTCCGTTGCTCCTCGTCGTCCTCGTTCTCCTCGGCCGCGGGGCACCTCCTCTGGAAGAGCAAGCACTGCAACAACAACGCCCGAACAATGGAAAGACCAGCAGAAGCAATTCCCTCCCCCCCCCCAGCCTCCACATTTGAAATTATTGCGTTGGTGATATTGGGTTCAAGATGCTTCTGGTCCCGCTTCTCCGGGAGCATTTCTTCAGTTTTGCGGCCGCGGGGGGAGGGGGTTACGCAAAGTGTTTTTTTCAACGCTTGTTGCAAAGCTGTTCCTTCAACGTCCCGTGGAGGTGCGGAGCGGGGGAGGGGGTCGGGGCGGGGGGGGGGCGGAAGAGTGCGCTGGAGGGTGCTGGGACGACGAGAAAGGAGGGAGTGATTGGGCAAGGTGGGAGAAGATGGGGGAAGGACGCGACGAGGGAGGGGGGGGATGTGCTACAGGGAGGAGGAGGCTCGAGGAGGAGGAAGAAGAGGAGGAGGAGGAGGCGGTAGGAGTGGAGAGGATCAGGTACAGGAGGGGAGGAGGGAGCGATGCCGGATCCACGCCTCCAGGCTGAGGACCTCCAGGCCAAGCAACGGCTCCCACACCTGACAGGCGGGCACCGTCTCACCGACGATTAGCGTCTCTTTGTCCAGCTTCGTATGTTGTCGAGGGCTCTTTCGGCGAGTCACCGCCGCACCCTGCCCGTGTGCAAAGGCAAGGCGCTGGTGGCCGACAGCCTGTGTACGACAAGCTCCTGGAAGTTGCAGCGCAGCATTGACTCCCGGCGGGGGTCCCTGGGAGCCTCCTCAAAGAGGATTGACAACATTCATCGCAAAGAACCCGACGGGGCCTGAGGACGTGAGAGTCCAACGCGTGTCACCGCCTTCGCAGCCCTGGGTGCCCTATCGCCTTCGCCTCGTCGTTCGTTCCTCCCTCCGTGTTCTTCTCCTCGTCGTCGTTGTCCTGTGAATCGTGTGGGATTCCTGAGTGCGTAGGATTTTTCCGAGAGGAGTGCAAGTTCAGCCGAAGCGTCCCCAGGAGTAAAATTGCTTCACCGCGCAACGCGCCGCGCGAAGCGCGAAGTCGAGTGACCCTGAGATCCGGGAGCCGCATTTTTTTGACGCTGCGTTTTCGATTTCGGGCTCCGGGTCAGTCTCGTTTAGTCGATCCTCATCCCCATTGGGCCATGGTGTCTCAGCCCCACCATCCCGCCACCCCAGTTGGGGATAGGCCCCTCGAAGCTCGAAGGGATCAGCCTACATAACCGTCTTGGGGGGCAAAGCGGCCAGTCGGGCCCAGGCCACGCCAGTGGGGACAGGGACCGGGTAAACGATGCTCACCGGGACCATGCCGCAGAAACGGATGAGGAGAAGGACAACGAAGGAGCTGAGGAGGAGGAAGATGAGGAGAGGGAAGAGGAGGAAGAGGGGGAGCGGAGGGGGAAGGGGGAGGAAGGGGAAGAGGAAGAGGGTAGGAGGGAGGGGGTCTGCAGACGAGACGCTAAGCTTATAGGGCCAGGTTTGGGCCGAGGAAGGGCTCCGGTTGTCGGGCCGTCCCCCGAGCTAGGACGGGGGACTCCTCGTGGCCGAGGCTCGCCGTAGGCAGAGAAGCCCCCTTCGTTCCCCATGCAGCGTTCCCTGTGGTAGCACGATGGCTGCAGTACCTTGGGCCGTTATCAAGGGCTCCCACGAGGGCGCGAAGTTATTCGCGGTTCGCGCTTCGCGGTCCTCGTTCCTCCTCCCCCTCCTCCTCGTCCTCCTCTTCTCCCCCTTGGGGGGCGGCGCGAGAGCGCGAAGTTATTCGCGCTTCGTGCTTCGCGCAGCGCGAAGCGCGAACTTAGGAGCCCTTGGTTATGTTCTGCAATGTTCGAATTTGGTGACAGCGTCGGATCTCAGGTGAGCGGCGAAGGACAGACACCGGGGGCGCAGACACTCGCGCGCGAGCTGCCTGCGTCACCTGGTGCGTGGGCGACACCTTCCCCGATGCAGAGAGGGCTGGCAGAGAGGGCTGGTGGCCCTCGTAGGCCGCGGCGTAGAGTCGCTATGCCATCGTTCGCTGTGCCATCGTGCGTGAGACCCGTGTCGCTTCGCCGCTCGGGTGGGCTCGTGGTGGTCTGACCCTCTCCCGACTCCCGGTGGCCTTGCTCGGCTGCACGCCAGGAGGTGCGCGTGGAGGGCGCCCGTCCAGGCACGCGGCCGCCTCCGGCACGACGGGCCGCTTTCGGGGGATGTCAACCGACCACCCCGCCGGCCCTGGCCGGGCCCATCTTGGGCTCAGGACCGATGTCGGCTGCGCGCACGAGTGGCCCTTTGCCGGAGTGACCTTCCCTGAGATCCTGGCGACGCAGTTTTTGTTTGAGCCGGGGGTCTTCGCGCAAGTTCGGGCCCCGGGCCCTTCGCGGATCGATCCGGCTCGAACAATGGCGCAGAAAGATAGGGTCTAGATCTCCAGGAGGCTCGATTTTTCACGGCGTCTCAGTGGAGGAGGAGGAGGAGGAGGAGGAGGAGGAGGAGGCATGTTTTAACATGCCATGCCGGCCCGCACTCAATCGACCTTGGAAACCGCAGTGGGTCTAAAAGCCCTGTTTGGGGATACTGCACTCCGGCTATCATTTGAAACGTCGGATCTCGGGGCTTGGTGCGGGCCCACAGGGGTCCCGTCAGCCCTGGCCGGCGCGCGCGGACTGCGCGGACTTTTGGCCTGCCCCGCAACCCCCCTGAGGCCGAGCACCCAAGAGGTCATTGCTGCCCCGGGTCCCTCCTGCGGGCTGCCGGCGGCGTGCGCCCCCGAGGCCGACCTCGGGAGGGCGCGGGCGCCGATGCTGGGCCCACGAGGGTCCGGTCCCAGCCAGGACCGCATCGCCTGGGATCGCAAATCTTGATTCCCTGGAGTCGATTCCAACCCAGACCCCCTCGAGTAATGAAAAAATCACGACGGGAGGTTTTTCCTAATTTTCGGCCTCGGGGGGCCCTCACCGGGCCTCGGGAGCGTCAAAAAACGACTCAGGGTGCAAAGCCGGTCCTGGGGAACGGGTCGGGACCTCTGGGGGTCGACGTAATGAAAAAATCATTACGTCGGGGGTCTGGGAAGGGAGGTAAGAGACTTTTCCCCCCGCGCGCCCCGTCTAAGCCAGCACTTTCGGAATCCCTGGGAATCGATTCCCAGGGACTTCAAGGGTGACCCCAAAAAGGTGTTGTGCGGCCAGGACCGGCGAGGCGGTCAGCGGGCGCCCCCCGACCCTGCGGTGTCCTGAGCTGCGTCCCCTGCTCGCCCTCTTTTTTTTTGTTGTTGCTGCTGCTCGCCCTCCTCCCAGCGCCCGCCCCAGCGCCGTATGTAGTGAGGCCCCAGCGGACCAAGCTGACGACAAGCCGTCCCGCCCCCAGAGATCCGACCCTCCAAAAAAAATGGGGGCGGCGGGATTGTGTCGATTTTCGGCCTCGGAGGGCCCCCGCCGGGCCTCGGGACCGTCGAAAAACGACTCGGGACGAAAAACGGCCCCAGGGAAGTGGTCCAGATCGCCCCCCCCCCGCGGCTCGGGCCGCCCAACGGCCAGGGCCGCTGAGAAGCGAGGGCGGGCTTCTGTGGCCGTGCCCAGGGCGGCCGTTGTACCACGGCCAGGACTCAGGAGAGGAAAAACACACACACACACAGACACAATTAATCCTCGATTCCTCCGAAAATATAGGAGAATACGGGAAGTGGGGGGGAAGACAGAAACCCGGAAAATATGGGGAATCTTTTTATTTGTGTGTATTTACTTGTGTGTCCTGGGGCCTCTTCACGGACCTGGGGCCCAGGAGGTCCGTCGTTCGTTCCTGCTCGTGCCGCTGCCGCTGCCTTCGCGTCCTCTCCCCCCCTAGCTCGCACTCTGCTCCTCCTTCGCCTCCGCCTCTTTCTCCTCTTCGTCTTCGTCGTCCTCCTCCTCCTCCTCCTCCTGCTCCTCCTGCTCCTCCTCCTCCTGCTCCTCCTCCTCCTCCTCCTCCTCCTCCTCCTCCTCCTCCTCCTAGCCGAGTCCTTCGTCGCGGGATGTCGACGCACGCCAGCAGTTGTTCGAGTACGTGGCCTCATCAAGAAACAGTGGCACTGCCAATGCCAGATTTAGTGCCCTTCTGCGAAGCTTGGCACCTCGGCCGCAGAGAGGGTCACTCTTCAGAGAAGTCTCGGAGCTGCCGTGCTGGAGTGGGGCGCTGTCCGCAGAGTGTGCTCCTATGCCCTCGGATAGGGAAACAAAAAGTGGCATAAACATAAAAAAACTCGGAGGTCCGCGCGGATTTCTCGGATCGGCGCTGGACCCCCTCCCTGGCGCGCGGAGCGCGCCAGGGGCGGCGCCGGAGCCGCCGCCTGGGGGCCCCCGCGCCGATGCCAGAAATCCGCGGGGACCTCCGAGTTTTTTTTATGTTTATGTCACTTTTTGTTCCCCTAGTCATGACGATGGCTTCGAGGCTGGAGTAGAGCTCCGAGAAATCCGAGAACTCCGAGAAATCCGCGGGGACCTCCGAGTTTTTATGTTTATGGCACTGTTTGTCCCCCTAAGTGTGCTCCCATGCCCTTGGAGCTCACGCCACTGCTGCGGTGGCTCCCGGCGCTTGCTCGTGGCGCTGCGTTCCCGAGAGCCTCTCTCGCGGGAGACCATGCTCATGCTCTCTGCGGTGGGCAGGAGGAGGAGGAGGAGGAGGAGGAGGAGGAGGAGGAGGAGGAGGAGGAGGAGGAGGAGGAGGGTGCCGAGGGCCTTCTCGTCCATCGCCAGCCAGCTCTACTCCAGCCTCGAAGCCATCGTCATGACTAGGGGAACAAAAAGTGACATAAACATAAAAAAACTCTGAGGTCCGCGCGGATTTCTCGGATCGGCGCTGGGGCCCACCGGCGGCGCCTCCGGCGCCGCCCCTGGCGCGCTCCGCGCGCCAGGGAGGGGGGGTCCAGCGCCGATCTGAGAAATCCGCGCGGACCTCCGAGTTTTTATGTTTATGTCACTTTCTGTTCCCCTGATGACAACAACGTCCCCGCCTGCGCATAGTTGGTCACCACGGGTATCGTCTAGGGCTGCGCCCTGAACAGCTCCATTTCTGCGGCGGTCACGGCGCCATTCCCTTTTGGACCTTCAGCGACGGCTGGAACAAACCCGTTTAGGCCATGCCCCCGTTTGAGCCGACGATGTGGGGGCAGTCGTTCGGGACATCGGATATTTGAACATCCTGGCGGACGTTACGCCTGTTGCGGAAGCCACGGCAACGCGTTGCCTCAAACTCAAATTCAACAAGGGCAAGCTGTTTCTGTTCTTAGCCCCCTGCGCACCGCCGACCAGACAGGGGCGGCCATTCGAGCACTTCTGCATGCCAGCGTCACGGCTGACGAGCTGCAGCCTCCACCACACCGCTCCGCGCTGGCCCCCGCGCCGGCTCGGACGCATGCGCGGTGCAACCGACGGCCGACGCCGCTTCCCGCCGCAGGCGGCCCGGGCCCCGGGGTGCGAGGGTGACCACGACCCCATCGACTTCGGCGGGCTTCGGACCTCCACTCTGGTCACCTCCACCAAGTGGCCCGGGCAGCACGAGACCGCACAGGGCGACTCCTCGCGGCGGGAGCGGCCTGCCTCAGGCACGGTCCTCTTC